ACATCATGCATGGCACCCAAAACGTAGGGACTAGCAGTGGATACCTGATGAAAGAGTACACAAGCTCACACAACACCTTGACCCAACAGGCCGACTGGCATACAGAGATGCGTCAGGACATGGCAGGACGATCCCCATGACACACTCGGCTCCGCATGTCTTTCAGTAAGAAGAAAAATCGCCTCGCTCGCTGCTCAAGACGTACTCCAGTAGGGAGCTAAGAAGTCTAAGACTGCCATAAGGACGACAAGACAAGTGAGAGGAAAGGGTGGGGCCATAAATGAGCCAGGTGGGAGCCAGAAGCAGGAGAATCCGAGACAGCCGTCAACAAAAGCCAGTAGGTAAGAACCAGGAACGCAGCAATTGGCCAGCATACGTGGAGACAACGGGGGCGAAACGTGCGGCCAGTGCCCAAGGAGCGAAGCTCCCGCACCGAGGGCACACACGAGGGCGACCCAAAGGCGCGCGCCATGTGCCGAGGGAACTGTGTTCCAGCACAGAGGGCGAACACGCCACCAACCAGGCATCAGATCAGAGTCTCAAGTAAACAAGGCTACCGCAGCATAAAGACGACCGCATACGTGGTGCCCAGCAGACAAACAAAGCTTCACGGAAGCTATAGATGTGGCAGAAAGAGTGATACCCATACTACCTTATCACCATGGAGTACGCCCCGGGTGTGCAACCAGCGGTTGATACCTGACGGAATTGTAGACGAGTACGTAATAGCACGGACACAACATGCTACTGAGAACCCAGTCCTGCGACGAGACAGCCTCCATGACACGGACAGCTAGAAGCATCTGACAATACAAAAAAAGGAAAGTCACGCCCAGTGTGCTGTACCGTACACCAGCGAGAAGCAACGCATGAGAAGCCTCGACCCGGACCGTGGCCCTAATGGAGCGCAAAGAAGCTCAAGAGCTCAAGGTGAAGAAGAAGCGAGAATCCCTGATGTGCAGGAGCCTCACTTTTTCGTCCATCTACTCAAGCAGGACGCGCAGGAGGTGCAATTGCAAAATCAAAAATTGCCGGCAGTCCCAACACATTGTGTGACGGAATGCTGGCTTGTCCGATCCAATCCACGGTGGGGGAAGGGAGGCGAACTAACAGCTGTCCAAACCAATCAGATTCACGTTGCAGCACGGGCAGCGATGACCATGAATGGGGGATGAGAACCATCTTGTGACACACTCCTTATGGAAGTAGTGCATGCACGCCAAACGGACGAGTGTCTCACCGACCTCAAAAGGCTGCAGACAGCTAGTGCAACTCGTGACTGGCAAAAGGCAGTTGTCGCCAAGATCGGCCTGGACAGCAGTGTGGTGGATGGGCTGCTCGGCTGTGCTCGGCTCCTGTACCGTGGTGCCATCTGTTGCTGGCCCAAACGTGGCATCCGGTACAGGTGATGGGGCAGCAGCGGCTAGCTGCATGACGATGCGTGTGGCCAAGGCGATTCGCAGGTCACCTACAGACGTAGGGATGGTGATCTCATGATTGTTTGCCGGTGTTGTGTCCCCATGCCACTCCTCCATGATGCGCTTCACCAAGCCTGCATCCAGAAACTGCGGATGACTTAGCAAGTATGCAGTGACGCGGCGCCTAGCATTCGCAGGGACAAGTTGGTGTAGAGGCTGCAAGGACTGGAAGGTAGCTCAGCATAGCTTCCACAGCTGCTGGGGATGGCGGGGACCCATGTGAAACCCTGCCGGGAAAGTCACAGTCAGGCTGGGAGTGGGATCCGACGCCGGCACTGCGGGGGGAACATGGGCTCCACCCGACGATGAAGCGCACCCACCAAACATGCGCCGCTGTGGCTGGGAAGAACGGTAGGCAGGGACGGGGGGAGCAGGGGGAGCAGGGTGAGCAGGATGACGGGGCGGCGCACGCGCCCTCCCTAAGTCATGGCCCCCCGCATGGGTCACACGGGTACGGTGCTGGTGCGCAGATCTTGGGCGGCCAGAGGGTACCGGATGGCCAGCTCTTCGGCCTTGGACTGTCCTCCCCCTTGGACGACTGCGTGAGCGCTCACGATTCTCAAGTGTGGGCGTGCTGGGCCTGGGCCCTATAGTTCCCGAGTGGTCCTGCGCCGAACGAGTGGTGGACGCGAAGAGCTTGGTGTGGTGTGACCAGCAAACATAGCATCTATGCTTCTTTCCGCTATATCCATGGTAAGGCGGAGAGCACGCTTAGCTTCATCCTCAAACCGCATGGCGCGAGTGGAGAGAGTGTGTGCCAGTGCCGCCCGGGAAACTCGAACAAAAAAGCTTCGCATAGTGCCAAGCTGAGCGCTGAATACTGGTTTGCAACGGCTTCCCGTTTCAGCACAATACTGTCGCGTCGAGTCGTGAATCTACCGAAGGCATGATGCTGCCGAGTCTGTAGTGCCTACACTGATAGTAGCAGTCATCGCGTTTTTCCACAAATCTCCAGAACCGTATATTGCACAAAGATTCGTGAAACAGTATCCGGGCTCAATATATAAAATGCCCGAGAATATAATAAGTATTGGAGCCGGTTATCAAAAATGCCCCCGAATATATTCTCACAACTGCTGACGCGAACTTCTTTTCTTCTGAGCACTCGAAAGGGGCTGTTCGAAAAGGGTTTGTCGCACCGACAACTTCGGTGCACAACACGCGTGGTAGAGTTTCCACAAAGCGGCTTGCGGTAAGAGATTCCGCTATGTGTCAAGCACCCGATTGCCCCCCCAGGAGTGGGTGGGTGGGACAATTTTTTCCCCCGTGGCCCAAAGCCACTTGAGCTACAAACCGCCGGTGCATTAAACATTCGGAACTGCGACATGCGTGAAAAGAACTGCATGTAAAGGCCAGAAAGATGTAAAAACATTTGTGTGATAAAATCATGCTTTCACACAAAATTAAAAGATTGAAATCATGCAATTAATCGGTTCGCGGTTGTCGCCATTTTGAGGGTGAAAGATTTCCCTCAAATAAAACAACCTTGGAGTTTAGGTGGAAAGAGTTATCCGCCAGCGGAAACGTGCCTTCCACAAATCTCCAGAATTTCCGGTGCTCTGGGGGCTGAGCGACTTCGAGAAGACCGCTCAGCTGCTGTCCGAGGTCCTCGCGGGTCGGGTGAAACATCCCGTAACCTGCTGAGTCATCAAGGAGAGTGCGGAATCTGTGCAGCACAAGTCCGGAGCGATGATTCTCAGCGACACTATCAACAAGAGTTGTTTCGAAGCTGTTGAAACACCAACTAAAACAGTTGGACGAATATTCCCCAATTGATATGTGGGGAAAATCAGAAATATGTCACCGTCGCAAATATAAATGCCCATCAATCAACGATGTACATGTTGCAACAGAAGATGCAAGACACTCCGCGCTCGACCAATGTTTTAACAGCGAAGCTCGCCGGTAAAGGTTGTGTGAAAAGAGGAGGCCACCGCAAGGAGATACACACCTTGCAACAATGAAGTTGCATTTCGCAACCTCAATCTGCCCCTAGGAGTGGGTGGGTGGGTTCAAGAAAATTTCACGGTGACTGCAGCAGAGCCACACGACTACAGGCACACGACATGGATTCTCAAGGCATCTTCGTAAAGAGATGCAAAGTGAGAAAAAAGGAAAACCCGTGTGCCAAACCCCCCACGTGAAATTAAATGACAAAGCTCTGTGAAAACAGAAAATGTTTTCGTGATAAAGGCACACGAAAACAAAACTCAGATTCTCAAAAACTCACTTTTTTCCTTTCCTTTCGCGGCAGACTAGGTCGTCGCCTTGCGGGGCCTAAGCCAGAGGCAAGCTGCGTTCAGCTCGGCCATCCGTGGACAGCTACGTTGGAAAACGCACCTCGAGGAACTATGAGACAAACTACTAACTAGAAACGGCTCGTGGCGTACCACAAAGCAGCCGTGAGTGTGCACCAAACAGCTTGACTAAGGTGCAAAGCAGAGAACAGCGACCCTCAAGCTCAGCCATATATACAACTGCGTCTGCGGACTACCCGTGACTACCTGTACAAGTCACAGCTACTCAGAGTATACAGGGAGTATACTGACGGTTGCAGTTGGGATGGCGAAGGCATTAAAAATGGGATACAAGTTGCAAGTACGGATCCGGAGGGGGCTAAACCTTAGAAGTATTGGTCAAAGTCTCTGCTGAGAGTCGGTCGACATCACAGCACTGCTCGCGCAATGACTCCAGGGCCAATTTGGTCAAGGGAGCACTTCTCGGACTCTTTTCAAACAAATGAGGTAGCAGTTATGTTCAGTCCATGAAACCTCGGATTTTGTTTTGATTGGCCTGGCACCCACGCCGTCATTGCTCAAGAACGGAGCGCGGCAGCCCTCACTGTAAAGCACACTTTGGTAATGACCTGTCAGCACGCTATGTCCCTCATGTACAACTGCGAAGCAGAGCGTGTATGGAATCAGGACGGATTGCAAGGTGGCCTCCCCGACAAAACATGGCATCATTACCTGCGCTGCTGGTGGGGTACACAAGTGTGCAGTTTCACCGGCTGGCCTGCCTCAAATTTGTATCTCAGCAGCTGCAGCAAAAGGAACTCAGGCGGCTGCGTCAAGGCACACGTGGTTTCCTGCTCGTTCCAGGCATTGATAAGTTGCTGAAGTGATGCATGCTCGGCATTTGGCATAGCAATCGGCAGCGGCGTATCAAAATTGCTGCGGCCTCTCACTTCGATGCTCGGTCCATCGTTCAATCGTGATTCCCAGCAACCTGCATAGCACAACGGTTGCAAACGTCTGAGAAGGAAAGACATGAATTCGACGGCATCATGTTGTTGCGAAATGCCTGCCCAGCCGCGTAGCACTGGATTCCACGGCAGAAGACCTGGGACATACAAGGGCTGGCGTTTAGTCCCAGCCAGGAGTGCTCGAAAGGCTGCCACATGGGCGCCAAAAGCGCAGGCGGGCTGACCGTAGTGCTGACCTGTCCACATCATGCTTGTGATCACGGCATTGAGGTAACAAACATTGTGGGGGTTTTTAAGGAAAATGGGGTCAGGCCTATCTACAGATCCATGTCGGCTTCTGCGTCCTGCGTCTTCGTTGCCGGCGCGCTCGGGTACTGGGGCTGCGTGGCTTTGAGCAGGGCATCGGCCTGCGCCTGCAGAACCTTTGCCAGCGGCTGCCTCCTCACCCGTTCGCGGCAGAGACGAACGCCGATCAGATGCGTGCAATTGTTGTTGCACAGTCCCAGCAGTGTCGAGTAGAGTTGATCCGCTGCCTCGCCGCGGTTCCCAACCGCCAACAGGAACGTCAGGATGTCGGATTGATACTGCTGGGCCAGCGGGCGCGTGGCGTGGAACTTGTGGATCAGGGCGTCCTGCTCCACCAGGTGGATAAGCCTTTCCACATTCTGTACGACCAGGGAGTGTGCGAGTGGGATCTGGGCCGAGTCGATGATGGACTTCTGCTGCTCCGCATCCCACCTTGAGAAGGTCCAGCAGGGCGGGTCCTGCTTCGTGAGGTGGCCTTTCGCCTGTAGCCTCTCCTTGGTCTCGCCCTCGGTCGCCTGTGCAAGTCGCGCTTGGAACTCCTTCAGCAACGCCACGAGAAGAGTCACCCTCAAGGACAGGGTAACCTTCGGAGGGGTCTGTGCTTTGAGCTCCTTCCATTCCTGACTGATTGCAAAGAGAGTCGTCGCCATGGAGGATGTCCCTGTGGTGGTCATGTACATGAGGAAAGACGAGTCCGCCCTCATCGCCGCGATGTCGTCTTCCTGCCGCAAGGAGAGTTTGGTGACTATCGCCAGCACATTGCGGACGGTGTTGCCGTCGATCTGCTGAGTCAGCGGCTCCTTCCAATCCCGCGACTCCACCCACCAATCCCTCTCCCGCTTCGTCCTGCTCTGATCCGGGCCTTTGCCCTTGTTGGATGGACGTGGCCACTTGGGCTGGCGATCGTCGGAGCCCGTCGCCCTGTGCTGGGCTGCCAAAGAAGGCAGGTGGTGGCCGAAGAACTCCGTCACTTCCTTGGACGGTTCCGCCATCGGCCCTGACGAGATTGTGCGAGAGCAAATGGTGAAAGAGACAGGCTTGGTAGTATGACACGCAATTCGGCGGATGCACAGCTCCCTTTTGCTGGCCTTGAGGTTTGAAGGAACAAGCTCGGCACGGACCTTTGTACTTGAGCCTGGAGTGCGCCTTCAGCTTCTTTGTGACCGCGTCATGATGCTGCCACATGTCTGCATGGGAACGACGGATATGTGATTTCAAGCCTCCTTTTTGTGGTGAGCACCACTGCGTGCAGGCAATGCAGTACTCTCCTAGGATGGCTTGTTGCTTTTCAGCAAGGAGAATCCAGTCTTGTCGGCATGAAGCTTGCATATCTAGACGATCCATGAAGGGTCTGATTTCTTCAAGACACAGAGTTGGGGGCTCAGGTCGATTTGGGTCTGTCGGTGCGCCTTCTGAGACTGCATTCTCGGCGGTATGGGGGCCCTCTGGGTCAATTCTAGGCCGGTTTCCCGCCGTTCTATTACGATTCGGATGCTGACGTAAAAGAACGCTCGCTGCGGGGGCATTTGAGAGCCCCCCCGACCTGGCATCAGGCTCTAAAACGGACCGACGAACCGTCGGCTGGAGTCAGCCTCGCAGCGGACTGCAAAGCAGGCTGACTCCCTGGATCAAGTGGAAGATCGCTGGTCTCTGGCATAGGTGTCATAGGTGTCGCAGGTGACTCTGTCTTTGGAAGGACACTGTGTAACACAGGACAAGAAGACAATATGTGCCCCTTAAATCCCTGCCATTTTCTAAACGATTGTCCACAATGTCTGCAAATCGGTAATCCGTTCCGACAGTGTTGTGCTATGTTCACTTGGCTTCTGACCGCTCCTGTCTGCAAGCCTTCTGTGGCTAAGCTGATTCCATGGCTCTGGACGCAATGCGTGCGCATGCCATGCATGGTGTCAAAGACCTTTGCACAGTGTGGGCACGGGAAGGCTTGTTGGGTGGGGTGAGCGGGTTTGGTATTGCCTCCCTGGGGTTGAGTTTCAGGCATCGTGAATGCACGGGCTATCGTCTGCAGCCACTCAAGCTCGTGCGACCGGCCTGGAAAACGTGCATGATTGCCAGCCGTGGAGGGGGTCTGTAGCGCATGGATGCGATTATCTACCATCCGCTGCAAGTGCGACCGGAGTGGTGTCAGGCCACATCTGCTGTAAAGATCAGCGGTTGTCTCATGTGTGATATGTCTCGGAGAACCTGCAATGCAGCGAATGTGGTGGGCTTCCATGCGTGCCATAAGGCGAAGGCTTTCTTCAGTGATCCCAACTGCAGCTATGCCGTAACACAATGTACTACGAATGCATGTTTGGTACACTCGAAGCCTCTGCCTTAAGCTAAGGCCCCTAGGCTTGAAGAGTACGCGACTCAGTCGACTCACTGATGCTCGCGCCTGCTTGATGCGGGCTTTGGCGGTCTGACACTCAAACTGCGCAAAGGACAACGTGATGCCTAGGTAATCAAGTTGTTTGATTAGCTGGATGTTGACCGGCGCAAAAGGAGTGCCAAGTTGCACGTACTTGATGCCGTCTTTAACATAGGATCGTTTACGGATCCATTTTGTCAAGGTGTTGCCCGATGCGCGCAGCAAGATCCGAGACTTCTCATCGTTTATCTGCATGCCCGCTGCTTTTAACACCTCAAACAAACAGCCTACGCGAGTGCAGACAAGCCTGAGGTCGGCGACCGTTTCAAGCTCAAACTTTGCTAAAAGATCGTCGGCGAAGTATGTGTTGTAGTCACGTACCCAGGCTGCAGCTGAGGCATGGGGCTCGAAATTGGTCAACTTTACAGTAAGCTGATGGAACATGTAATGCGTCACAATCACCCACAACATCGGACTGAGCACACAACCCTGTCGGATGCCATTAGCTAACGAGATTTGGCCAGTATGCCCTTTGTGCTCCACGTGGTATTGTGTGTGGTGGATGGCAAGGACAAGTTGTATAGTATCTTCGTCGATTTCAAGGAAACGCATGGCGGCAGCAAGATACGCATGTGAGACATAGTCGAAAGCTTTACTCATGTCTAAACTGATAAGAGCTCCGCCTGTCACTGTGCTGCGCACCTTGCCTTGTTTGCGGTCCTGAACCTCGATGCGAGAGGCAGCGAGGCGATCACGAATTGTGGAGCAGAATCTCGCCGCGCGGCTGATGGCATTGTAAGTACTGCGGTGCGGCAAGTATGCGTACTGCGGGGTGTTGTTGAGCTTCGGGAGTATGATGTGCATCAGTCTATTTTTGATCGTCCGAGCTAGGGTTTTACCAACCGGATCCTGTAAGGCAATAGGTCGTAACGAGGATGGTTGTGTCGGGGGTTTCTGGGGCTTCGGCAACAGCTTTAACCAGCTCTCAGTCCACTCAGCAGGCAGCCAGAGTTGCCCGGGCTGCAGTGCGCGGTGAAAGATCGTGCATATCACAGGTCCCAGGAGGTCAGCTAGGCACCGATATACTTCAGGTGGGGCAGAGCCTTCAGGTACAGCACGCCCTGATTTATGGGCTTTCAGAGCATGTGTGACCTCCTGAAGTTGCGCATCGAACGAGCTACCCATACAGAAGGTATTGGACTCGGCGGCAGGATCACGTGTGAAAACACTTGTGAAATAACCATGCACAGCTTCAAACTCTCTCTCTGTGGACATCATGCAGTCTACCCTCCTCGTCTCGTATTTGGATGCGGGTTCGGGGTGCTTTAGGGGCCAGGCTACATATGTGGCGATACAGGGCATGGACATCACCCCGCTGCGCAGCTACTTCGGCCTGTTGCAGGGTATACTCAAGAGCGGCTCGCCTGTTCGCAAGGCCACGCTGCCTAAGCGTGGTTTGTATGCAACGGAAGCGGCGGTGAGCCTTCCAAACCCTGAAGATCTTTTGCCCTAAAAGCCTGCGCGAACCCAGAGCACGTCTAGCAGTCCGCAATTCCCTGTGTGCCTCCCACAGCTGTTGGACTGTTACTTGCATGTTGTCCGTTTGCCACGGTCTAACTCGCCTTGCTTGTGGAATCACCGGGAAGTGCTCACTACAGCAATCAAGGAGTAGGCGGTTCAGGGCAGCAGTCGACTCCGGAGCCTGATCAGCGAGTTTCTGGGAAACTTTCTCCCGAAATGTTTGAAAGGCTGGTGTGTCCTGCCGAATGGCCTGCTGCAGAGTAGATCGCGAGAACCTGGCCGGAGTTCGGGCTTTGGGGGGAGTTAGGGGGACTCCTAGCCTAAGGTGGGCAACCACTGCAAAGTGCTTGCCACCTCCACGCCAGGGGGAGAAGCAGATATCACGCTGTGGCTTGGCTTGCCTTGCGATGGAGTCTGCGGTCGCAGGAGATGCGAGGATGAAATCAATGTGGCTGCGCTTGGGCACCGTACCAGGAATCTGAAATGTGTAGGCTTGCCTGGCGGCGCTCCACGTGTTTACTGCACATAAACCTGTGTGCTGCACAAATTGGCAGAAGTCCTCCACATCAGGTGGGTCACGTGTGGAAGCATACAGGCCTTGTCCAACGTTGCTACCTCCAGGACGCAAGGCGCAATTAAAATCCGGCTACACAGCGCAAGTTCCTGAGGGGCAGTGCCTGTACCAAGCAAGTCAGGGACCGCCAAAATTTGCGTCTCAATTCGAGGCGACCTTTTGCAGGCTCAGGGTCCCAAGCCCACTGGTAGCAGCACACAAGGTCAAGCGAGCGAGCCTGTCGCCCCGCTCCCACAGGTATACGAACATGTAAGAGCCGTCCCGGAACCACAGCCGTGTACTGCAGATCGGCTGAGCACGCCAGACAGGAAGATATCAATATAGCTACTCCTGCAAATCTCGTCTGGGCATCCGGCGAATTTACAACAGACCATCCAGGCAAAACAAACTCTGAGAGCTCCTTGCCGAGACCATAATGGGTTTCTTGCAACATGACAACGTCAAACCTGCGACCTTCCTTCTGCAGCCAATTGGCAAGAACATCGTAGGAGGTGGTGCAAAGGCCTCCCACGTTCAGACTGCACACGCGGAGCCTAGTTCTGCGTTCAGGGCCGGAGGGACGCGGCCTGCGCTGTCGAGCGGCATTGTCCTGATTTGCCGCCTGTTCGGACGGGGCTGTTTTGCAGCCGAGGCTTTCGGCTGTGCACCTTTGACCTCTGTACCATGTGACGCCGTCAGCTGCGGCACGTCTCTGCGCACGCCTGAATGCGCGCTTTGCAACACGAATTCTGGTGGAAACAGGTGCCCTTCTGCCTGGCTTCGCTGTCTGCAGGAAGCCTTCATGAACGGAGCCTTGAGTCGCTCCCGCAGCACTGGCAGATGGTGCTGCAACCCTCGCATCTGTGGAGTGTGCAGGTACGAATGCAGGCCTCGGTGGCGGCACTCCACCCAGGGAATTGGGACCCTGGCGGCCCTCTGAGCTTATGACGGCAGGTCTGTTGCTGGGTGCTGTTGCTGCGTTCCGTGCTGGTGCTGGTGTAGTCGGCAGTCCCGGTGGCGGGTAAAGACAAGCATGAAGTGAAATCTGCATCAAAATGTGAAAACACGTGAAAATGGAAAAGTACGTGGAAAGAGCAACCATGCGAGTCACCATGCGAAAACTGCGCAGCTACACGTCTCAGAGCACCAACGCCCGTAAAATCTGGGTAGTGATGAGCACCTGCAATCTACCCCGCCCACTCACCTACAAGAAGCTCGGGCCGAGATGCTTCAAAAACTCACTCCGATGGACACGTCCACCTCGCGAGTTGTTTCGAAGCTGTTGAAACACCAACTAAAACAGTTGGACGAATATTCCCCAATTGATATGTGGGGAAAATCAGAAATATGTCACCGTCGCAAATATAAATGCCCATCAATCAACGATGTACATGTTGCAACAGAAGATGCAAGACACTCCGCGCTCGACCAATGTTTTAACAGCGAAGCTCGCCGGTAAAGGTTGTGTGAAAAGAGGAGGCCACCGCAAGGAGATACACACCTTGCAACAATGAAGTTGCATTTCGCAACCTCAATCTGCCCCTCTTCGGAGAATGACGGAATGCTACTTCCATGGATCTCTGGTCGACAACTTTGTGGCCTTTGAGCGCGATGCCGGATCCTTCTGAGGCGGGGCCCCTCGCTTACGCGATCTCCACTCCGCGATATCTTGATAAAGCGAAGTTCCCAATTCAAGCATCTCCTTCATGATCACCGCTTGGTAATCCTTGAAAGAGAATCGAAGCCTCAACGCAGGATCGAAGCTTTTGAAATCTTGATTTGTTAAAGCATCGGCCAAAGCGTTCTGTAACCTCGGTGCCCAGTGAAGCTCGAGTGACAAAGCACGCCCTTGAAGAACCGTCGCCAGTTCCATGAGCACTGCAACCAGTGGGAAAGAAGTCGTCAGCCAACGAGCCGTGAGCAGACTGTTACCCCGGTTGTCCGTCGCAGCACTGCAAATGAAACTCGCCTTCGTGTTGGGCGGAGCTTCAAACAAGATCACTCCCACCAAAGTCGCAAGTAGCTCGAGTGAAGCAATTGCACGATAAGACTGGCCTGCCATGTGAAACCACGGGGCATCCACATGAGAAATCTTCTCGGCGAACCATTGGCATTTGCGTGGATCTGCGGACTGTCCCGAAGCCCACCCTCCGATCCACATCTGATCTCCCTCAGCCTTTGCGTCCGTGCGGAAAAGCTCCACAGTGGCGCGCCCCTTCCGGGGCACATAAGCTGTGCGAAGATCTTTTAAGAAGAATTGTTCGAGAAACGAAAGAATCAAGACGACTGCCTTCGGGAGTTTCAAAACATGACAATGCCTCACAGCAGCTACCCAAGCGTAAAGCGGACCTAAGAAAGGGCGCAGCAGAGGCAAAACAGTCAGGCCGAAAGAAAGCCTCCCGACCACCGCTCCCATATCAGCAATGTTCACGAAGCCGTCGGCCTTGACTTTCCGTATCCAGCAAATCATCCAATCCGAGCGTGACTTGGAGATGCCCAGGAGCCTTTGATGCGCTGCAATGGAAAATCCAATCCAGCCATGCTCTGCTCCACCTCGGAACTTATGCCAAGCGAAGGGAACTCCCAGAATCTCCAGAAGGAAGATCGATGCCAAGATTCGTGGCAGGCCCTGAGCGGATTGCGTAAGCCAGATCAAGTCGTCCACATAAGTTAACAGAGTGGTTGCGTCCTGACCATGACAATAGTAAAGAAGTCTCCCGAGGCCAGCAAACAAGCGATACCACCAGTAAGACGCGCTGGAGATGCCGAATGTCCCGACCGTATTCAAGAAGACGCGATCCTTGTTACGGGCCCGGCACGCTTGCCTGGCCCAGTCGGCCCTCCGCACAAGGACCAGCCGATGTGCACGGCTGATGTCCCCCGAAAGCGAGAAGAAAGCACTGGGGAGCTCCTCCAGGGCAGTAGCAAGGTCCCCTCCGGTAGGAGAGCTCTGAGCATCACGGACCTTGATGCGATCATTCACATGTTGCCCGTGGGTCCCATCGTGGACCACCCTCACCGAGTCGTCGTCTTTGGGTATGGCACCCAGAGATGCCACTGAGAGCGCGTCGCCGAACTCAGCACGAGCCTCCTCCACTGACATCTCCACCATAGCGCCCAACGAAACCTCCTTGGCAAACTGCTCTTCAATCTTCGCCTCGTGACCGCGGGCAGAAGGATAATTGGCGCGGAGCTCCTCCGAAAGTAGATCCTCGGCACCTTCGAAGGTTCTGTGCTTCGTCTTTCTGAAGAAGAGAGCAGGGGTCCTCGGGAGTCTAGTATCGACACCCCGCGGAACGCCCGCGGCAAACGAGCAGGATGATTTCGTGTATCTCCTCCAATCCGGATCCCCTGCCAAGCGCAGCAGCTCCCCAATGGCCTCCAAGTAAAATGGCTGCCGCTCCGGCACGTGGTCCAATGCCTCGCGACTCCCAGCCCCACGTAACTTGCTAAAGAGAAGGTCGCGACCAGCCTTGAGCAAATCCGGATGAAAGGGGGAGCATGAAGCTCGACCAGTCGCCAGCTTGCAGATTTCCCGCTTCACATCCAGAGAGTCAGTCAGCAGCTTGAGCAAGCCATCCATGAGCCCCTTGTGTAGTGAGAGATCAAGATCACTGTCTCCCGCGGGCCTCCGATCAGGGGGCCAGCGGCCCGGCGACGCCAATCCATGCCCATCGGCAAACCACCTCGAGCGACCCATGAGTTTGGTCTTAAGTGGCGGGCCCCAACCCAGCTTGCCCGAGCCGTAGCCAGGTTTCGCCACTCCATCCTCATCTTCCTCCGAAGTGCTGCCAGCTTCTCCGTCAGATGCCACATCGTCGTCGAACTTGTCCTTAGGAAGATCACCCCAAAGGTCCTTCGCCCCCGGAGCATCGTCGTTATCTTCCAGGAGTCTCTCAATCGGAGGCCGGTCCGTAGCTGAGACTTGCGTCGGTGTGCGAAAACCCAGCGAAATCAGAAAATCCAAATCCTGAGCGGCCATGTTCTCACCCAGAAACGGAGTGTAGGCCACGAGAACAGTCCTGCAGCCTTTCCACTCCATAGTACAATGAAGACGCCGGGCGTCAAACACAGCAAAGGTGCCGGCTGTGGGAAGCACATCTCCCAGTTCCGAAAAGGCATCGAAAGGACAAGGAACAGACCCTGAATCCGACGAAACCCAAACCCCACCCCCCCAAACCCGGAGAGACCTGCCACAAGGTTGCAGGTACCCTGTTGATTCCCCAGGTCACGGTGGGGAAGAGTACGGAGATTGCGAAAGAGAGCCACCGCCATAAACTGAAAACCTTGCTTAAGGGAGTCCACGAAACGACAAAGGGCCTTTGTCACTTCAGGGAATTGCCTCGTGGCTTTCCGCACTCTAGAAGACCACCGCCGACAGCGTAGGAACCCACGGTGAAAGCCTTGGAGCCTTCTTGTAGCTCTCCGAGAGCTGTCAGATGGCAGCATGTCAAGGAGTCTCAAGAGCTGCTGTTTCGTCGGGACATGCCATGAAGAAGCCAACGCCTCCGGATCGGAGGAAGAAGCAGAGCTCGACGAAGAAGAGAAAGCATTCTCTGAAGTATCCTTCCCGGCCCGTAAAGAAGAATCCCCCTGTCCCGAGGCCGAGAAGGGTGTCCACGCCAGCCAGGCCAGTTTCGCAACAGCTCGGCAAAGAGCTGCGGGGTAAACCGAAGAGGCCAGTGCCGCTCCATGATCGTGACCGCAACTACGAGGAAGCGGACCGCGATAGTGACCTTCATGATCTATAATGGGCCAGCCTTGCAAGCCCAAGGAACCCAAGTTGGGCCAAGTACCTGCAAGGCGAGTCGGTCTTCGTGTCGGGGCCCCATAGGAGCACTGTGTCAAAGCCACAGAAGAGGCCTGCACACGCAAGAAGAACTTCTTAGTCTCGGCCCAAGTCCAGATGGAGGCTGGAATGCCTCGCGAGGTGGCGCCGAGGTGCTCCGGATGTTCCCAAAGCCATGGAATTCGCATAGAGTCCGCCTTATGTGCAAGCTCCAAAACACACTTGATATGACGAGTGCCCGTCTGGGTCTTTTCCTTCAAGGTGCCTCGAAGCCAGGGAAAGCCCTCGGGCCAACGTTCGTCGCGCAATGGAGGTGACCCAGAAGAAGTAGTAAAGCGGCTCCGATGAAACGAAAAAGAAGGAGGGGACAGGAACAGTAAGTTGTACCGTGACTGTCCAAAGTCATGCAGCAATGCTTCCCAGCGAGATTCGCCGAGATCGCCCTCAAGGCAGGACATATCAAATTCCTCCACATGAAAAGCTCGGCCATGCGATTCTTTCGCGAGCCAACTTACCAGGTCGCCCTTAAAGGGCGGGCCAGCGTACACATAGAGCATGCAAAGAATGCCAGGTTCCAACCCAGCCTCATCTTCATCCACTGTGCTAGCAGCCTCAAGTCAGTTGCCCCCGGTAGGGCGCTTCACCATCGGGCAATTGAAGTAAGGATGCGAGGTCGAAAGACACCGCTGGCAAACATGTTTGAAGCGGCACTGATCATTTGTGCAGCCACCCTTTCGGTTGAACTTCCAACAGATGGGCTCGCCGTTAGCATCTTTAGTCAACTTGCCACGATGCTCATTGGGATCGGCTTGCTGCTTGAGCTGCTGATTCCGAGCGCCACGCCCTTGAGAACCACGTCCTTGATTTCCACGGCCCTTCCCACGACCACGGCCGGGC